GACGAGGACGACGACTACTACTACTAATGTGTCAAGGTTGCCGTCTATGTTTTGGGCCTGGCTTCCCTTCCACTGCACTGTTGATCAGAGCCCCGTACTCATCGTAATCCTCACCTTAGCGAGGCTTTGCGGCTGTGGGCCTAAATCCTAAACCCAAAACCCCAAACCGTCATCTTACCACTGCAGCTTCCGTTGCAGTGCAGAGAGGTTCTTTCCGAACAATTCTGCATGGCGGCCGGTGGTGTCGGCTGCCAAGGCCATGCCGCTGTGGACACGATGATGTTCACAGTCTCGTGTTTTCGGCTTTGTTGAGGGTCGGTCTTTTCCTGTAGTCTAGTTCGTTTGAGGAAACGCAGACAATGATGGTGACGATATACAGTTGGTCTTGCAACCGTCGCACAGTGCGGCATTCGCACCTGCTCTTCTAGACAATCAAGAATTGCTGGCACCCTGAAGCCTGAAACTGATCGTCCTGGAGGGTTCAGGCGTAGCTAGACGCAGAGTTGTTAGTGGCTTTATGCGGTTACGTGGGTTAGTGATAGACATAGATATGACTACCTCGCACCTATAGCTGTGGTTACCAAGTTGAACACTCAGCATTAGGACCTCCATTTTTTTTACCTACCTTCAGCAAGTGTTCTCTGAACCGAACCTCCAGCAGATGGTCGGACTTGCGCGGCAGAAATCGAAGCGTGAATGATGCAATAACAGCAAAACTAGCGTCGTTGTCATCGCCGCAAACGTTGTCGTCGTCATCGTCGTCGTCCTAGTTGTAGTAGTACCAGCCGTAGTAGTAGTAGTAGTAGCAGCAGGGACAGTAGCAGTAGTAGTAGTAGTAGTAGTCGTCGTCGTAGTAGTAGTAGTAGTAGTAGCAGCAGCCGCAGCAGCAGCAGCAGCAGCAGCAGCAATGGTCGCCATCGCCACCACCACGGCGACCGCCGCGCAGCTAACACCGACTCCCGAACAATCAGACAAGACCCGCAGCCCGTGACAAATGAGAGCAATGCAGCATTAGCTGTTATGTATTAGAAGGGGCAGTTGAATTCACAGCAGTGTTGCGATTACTCAAAGAGTATCAATCCGAGCATTCATCGTTAGAACAGACATGGTTCTAGTTAAAATCACCTTCACCGTCATCGTCATCATCATCATCATCATCATTATCATCATCATCACCATCACCATCATGTTCATCTTCTTCGTCGTCATCATCATCATCATCGTCATGACTTTGGCCACCATCCTTGATCTCAGTCCCGGCAAGCCCCGATCCCAGGGGAGCAGGAGGGTCCTTGTGTGGACCAACTTCTCTAAGTTCCAAGATGCACACCTAATTGGAGTCTTTACGAAGAAGAGAGCCGAAATGTCCGCGAAACGTGCGCTATTTGTACTGACTGAAGTACATCTACCTACAAGACGTTTAGAGTTCCGTGTCTCTGGCTTCCACTCGGCCTCATCTCTCAGACAGCTAGACGTTCGTTGCAGGCCTCTTCCAGTTCAGCCGCGTCCCCAGGCATCTCTTGTCTAGAGGCAATGCACCGACTGCAGAGAGGAGATGAACGACCTTGAATCCGAGGCACCTGCGACAAATCCCGGCAAGGACTGCTTGGCATTGGCAGAGCTTTGGATGTTGGGACATGCAGCTGTCAGCCATGCCAGAAGGAAAGGGGCTGACGACCTGTACCTACTGTCTGTCTGGAGAGGACTTGCTTGCAAGCATGCAAGCGAGGCTGTCGCATGTGGAGAGGCTGAACCAGCATCAGGCCTTGCCTTTGGGGGGCGCCTGAATAGTTGATCCAAACATGATTGCAATGTGTTTTGGCTGCTACTGTCGTCTACTACTACTACTACTAC